TATTTATATGTTGTTTTGTGAACTAGTAATCATGTCAGACTTATATTGATTTAAAGAGTAGAACATAGTATTTGAACTTTTCAGCTTATTGTTTATCCAATGGATTCCGGAAACTGCTTCCCTTTAGGGTGATATGAACTATCTTTAAACTGACATGTTGGGAACAGGCTAATGTAGGATTAGATGGTACAACAGTCTTCCTTCAGTAGTTTTTCTGGTAATGGATATTGGCTCCCGAAACCGGGTTAGAAAGGGTGCATGGTTATGCTTGTATGTGCTGGTTAATAAATTTTTTCATTTGGGAGTTCAGAGGTTGATCTAGCTTTAAGGTGGGAGACTGTCCTGTTTATCCTTCAATTTTGCTCATAAATTGCTAATATGTCGGTTGAGCTCCTTCGTCATTGTTTTGCATCCCGTCTATATTTTTATCTCTTCATTGTAGCGAGTTATAAAAGTTCACTGAGCAAGCTTTTGGGCATAAATTTTGGATCAGATTTTGAAAATTTATCTTCAATCATCTGTTTAGGCATGAAATTTGATCAAATTTTGAAAATCTGATCTTCAAATATTTTCTAGTTCCCAAAAACTGGTAGCACCAGTTTTTTAGAGAAATTTCACTTCCACTCACAAAAGTTCAATTTTTTCCCCAAATAAAATGCATGTCCAAACATAACTTCAAGTTCCAAATATCACTACTTCAAAAACTCAAATTTTCAAGTTTCAACTTCAAAATCTTTGGCCTAATGGGAGCTAAGGTTTCAGTCTATCACTTGCACTTTCCTTTTCCATTTGTTCGAATGGCCAGTTATCAACTTGGTCAAATAATTTATGTGTCTTCAGTATCCATGCTTGAACTTTATTTGAGAAAGCACTGTTATTATGCTGCCTTTAAATATTTTCGATGCTTTTATTTTGCAGATTACTACAGTTGACGAGGCTAAAAAATTCTATCCTTTGTTTGGACTTGGAGCAAATGTTGCTCTTATTTTCTCTGGCCGTACAGTGAAGTACTTCTCGAATTTAAGAAAATCATTGGGTCCTGGAGTTGATGGTTGGGCTGTCTCCTTGAAAGCAATGATGAGCATTGTAGTGGGGATGGGTGTTGCGATCTGTTTCATTTACTGGTGGGTGAATCGCAATGTTCCTCTACCGACCCGTAGCAAGAAGAAGAAGGTAACCTCTTTTACATTAAAGGATCACATTTGCTGTTGTTATTATCATTTTCTGACAAAAATGTATTTTTGCAGGAGAAGCCTAACCTGAGCACGATGGAGAGCTTGAAAATTTTAGCCTCTTCAAAGTATATCAGGGATCTTGCAACATTAGTTGTAGCATATGGGATTAGTATCAACCTTGTTGAGGTTACATGGAAATCGAAGCTCAAAGCTCAGGTACATTTTTACTAGGTGGTATGCATTTTTATATGTTAACCTTAGTTTACCTCTCATTTTAACATGAAGCATCTTTTTCACACTCTGCCCTTTGCTAACTCTGCAGTTCCCAAGCCCGAATGAATACTCTTCCTTCATGGGTGACTTCTCTACTGCTACTGGGATAGCTACTTTCACGATGATGCTGTTAAGTCAGTGGATCTTTGACAAATATGGTTGGGGAACAGCGGCTAAGATAACACCGACAGTCTTGCTTCTTACTGGAGTTGGATTCTTCTCCCTGATTTTGTTTGGTGACCCCCTTGCCCCTACCCTTGCTAAGTTTGGGCTCACTCCTCTTCTAGCAGCTGTCTATGTGGGTGCAATGCAAAACATTTTCAGTAAGAGTGCAAAGTACAGTTTGTTTGATCCTTGCAAAGAAATGGCCTACATTCCTTTGGATGAGGACACCAAGGTATATACTAATTTACTGTGTCTTAAAATTGTATTGAATCAGTGCTTCTATCAGAACTCAGATGTGCCAAATTGGTTATGCGTAAATATATCCGTGCTTTCTAGGAATTGAATGTATGAAACATGTACAGTCATAGCTTTTTGTATTGCATGTCCACTTGTATTTATTTGTGCTGGTATATGTGACGGACAAGTACCTGTCTGGACTTCTCTAACCGGAAAACGGAGATGTTTCTTCACATTCAATTGTTACCTGAAAGTTGAGGTCAATTATTTTCTTATAACAGGTTAAAGGGAAGGCAGCAATTGATGTTGTCTGCAATCCACTGGGCAAGTCCGGAGGAGCCTTGATACAGCAGTTCATGATTTTGAGTTTTGGTTCGCTTGCCAACTCAACTCCCTACCTTGGAGGTGTGCTCCTAGTAATTGTCCTTGCATGGTTGGGAGCAGCCAGGTCTTTAGATGGCCAATTTACTGCTCTGCGTCGTGAGGAAGAGATCGAGAAGGAAATGGAGAGAGCAGAAGTGAAGATTCCTATTGTGTCACAAGATGAAAGTGGAAATGGTTCTCTTACAAGTGACTCGTCCTCACTGAATCCCACGGGAGGTGACTCAGCAGATGCTTCGACTGAACCCTCGTCGCCAAGGAATCTGTAATATCATTGTTGGCACATCACCTGCAAAGCAGGAGAAATATGAAATGGGAATAGAAATATGTATGTTGGTAGCAGTTTCAACTATTGAATGAAGTTTCCAAGAATTTCTTGGTCGTAGGAATTTCTTCTTACTAGATAGAAATAAACAAAAATAGAAGACAAGAATGTTACTGACTTGACAGCCCTTAGATGTTGTAAGCTTATTGTTCTCTGAGTTCTTTGATTACATGATATGAAAATGCTATTACCTGAAACTGGTTTTTTTTTTTTTTTTTTTTTTTTTTTGTGTTAAATACATGTGTAAATCTCCAATATTTTTATTTGATACATACATACTTAATCAGATACACTAATAGTAACTAGATACATATAATTGTTTCTCAAATATGTGTCAAATACATCAATTGTGCCTTTTGACCTCTTATTTGCCTCCACCGTTCCAGGTGGTTTCTCCATTGAGTGATAAACAACTTGTACAGAACATTAATTGCAATTTTCTAGAGCTATTGTATGGATTCCGATTGTTGACATGAACTACACACAACTTTTCAGTAGTGACATCCAGAGCATGTAGTTTCAGCTCAATCTGACTATTAACGAAGCGAACATGGAAAAATTGAAAAACTTTTTTTGTGTTCTTTCTTATTGAACACACCTTGTCTTCACCATCCTCCTACACAACTCATCTTCACCCGCACATACCTCCTCACCACAACTCACATATTATATACAAATGCTTTTCGGATTATACTTTGTACTTACCTATCAAACACAAAAAAATAAGTACGAAATCAATTTGTTTTTTTAGGAAATATTTTTCATCAAAAAACATTTTCCTTCTTACCGAACACACATTAAGTACTTGGGATTCTTCAAAAAGTACTTTTTTTTATCCACATTAACAAACAAACCAACAGCTCACTCATTAAATGCCGGAAATGAATCACAACAGTAATTGGTACTACCATGGAGGTAACATCATCTTCAAAACTTTCCATACAAATTGGAATCATCGCATAATCCTAAATGATGCAAACCGTTACTATTGTAACATCGTCCATTCACTACAGTTTATCCTATCACCACAAGTATCATCTGCAATATAATATGATAAAATTAACCATGAAAATATGATATGTCCAAACTCGTTCAAATTTGGGTGGGCTAGTCATGCATTTATCTATTAATTCAACATATTTGATTCTCGTAAAATTGCATATTTTATCCTTCAAATAGATTGATCTTTAATTTTTATCCTTTAAATGAGCTGGTCTCCCATTTAGCCCATTTGAATATTGGGCTAATTTGTTTTAAATATAGTAACATAACTTAATTCATGACAAACCTTATACTATAAAATATCTTCTCCTTTGTTTGTTATATATAGCCACAGCAAATTGATCTCTTTTTTTTCATCCTAGTTTTATTTTGTAATTAAGCAAATGATAAGAAATACAAGCATATCAATTAGAATTTGGTAGTATTGAACGCTCACGCCTATGACTTAGCATTTATTCCATCTTAATCCAAGTCTAAATAATTTCACTTAATCTATTTTGATGTGCCTAAATTCAGTTTAACCCGCTCGCCCATTGGATATTCCTCACAACACTATGTAGCATAGTCCCAATTGTGTTTCCGCCTTACTTTTCCCAGCACATGATAGCCAAATTGCCAGCAAGAAAAAGAGAAAGAAACAAATTTAGAAGCCAAGGGTGTGGGTAGAGCAATTAATGGGCCGAGGTGAAGAGGAAGGAAGACAAAGTAAAATTAATGCTAATATTCCGTTGAGTAAATAGTGACATATCATGGCTGTTTCTCTGCTGAATAGAGAACAAAATTCATAAAACTCCCACACGAGAAAGGAAAATGACTTGCACTTTATCATTTTAATTTGTCTTCACTACTCCCCCATACCTTCCCCTTTATTCTTTTTGCCATCCCTCCTCTTCCTACCACACTCATGTTAACGGTCAACAACTACATCTTACCAAATCTTCACTACAAAAACTACTTTCCAAAGTTGAAGCGCATTCAGAATTTAAAATTTAGTCAGTTTATGAATTTTTAAAGTACATATTATGTATCGAAATTCAAGTGTTGGAACAACAACCGGTCAAGTTTATTTCATAACAAAGATAAATTAATTCGACTTGATGCTCTTTAATTTAATTGCTTTTCTAGGTAAATGCTAGTGTGGTTACTTCGGTCTTTAAGTTTCAATAATGCACTTCTCAACACATAACGATTGAGGGAACCGGAACTACTTGACATTGGATACAAAATACAATAAGCCCGATTCACATCATTATGCTTAATAAAAAGAATGAGAGAAGCTAAAACAATGTGTTTGAGGGTATTATTGTCAACAACAGATAAAAACAATGTTGTCAACATTATGTGGTTGTGTCACTCCTAACAATTTTTTATCCACTAGAGGTAATAAACCTCACGTAACAACAAGAAAGGGAAAAAAAACATCATTGGCCAGAAATCTTCTTTCATCTATATGAATTACTACTAGCTAGTGTATGTATGTTCACACAAACTACAAAAATGATGAAACTATCACCAGAATCCGTTAATCTTACCGGCAAATCCACGCATTTCTCGGCCGAATGTTGGTTCGACGACACATGTATCCTCGACATGGACTACTTTGTCAAGACACTTTCCGGTATTAAAGCCAAAGGTGTCCGTCCTGAACTCATTGGCTCAATTATTACTCACTACGCCTCTAAATGGCTCCCTGACCTTTCTAATGACGAAGGTATTTATAGAAATTCTTTTTATACATATCTTAGTAGTTGACTATTACATCTGCTTTAATTAATATCTCACTCAACTATGCACTTTTTTGACAGGTTCAGAAGTTTTTATGGGACTGAAAGATTTTGAGGACTCACCGGAAAGTGTAACAGCGATATGGATGAAGAAGAGGTTTTTCGTGGAAACATTAGTCGGAATTCTCCCGCCGGAGAAGGATTCGATTCCGTGCAATTTCCTTTTACGGTTGCTTCGGGTAGCGAATATGGTTCGGGTGGAGCCAAGTTACCGGGTGGATTTGGAGAAAAGGATATCATGGCAATTGGACCAGGCTACATTGAAGGAGTTATTGATACCGTCATTTGTTCATACGTGTGGGACATTATTGGATGTTGAACTTGTTCTTAGGTTGGTTAAGAGGTTTATGAATTTCGATGAAAGTGTAAGAAGTGGATCTGCTTTAATTAAGGTTGCTAAACTTGTGGATAATTACTTAGCTGAAGCTGCTGTTGATGCTAATTTGACATTGTCCGAGTTTTTTGGACTTGCTGATGCACTTCCTGCTCATGCTCGTTCTACAGATGATGGCTTGTACAGAGCCATTGATACCTACCTCAAAGTAAGTGTAAAACTGTTTTTATTTTTATTTTTTGTTGAATTTAATTGCAGTAGTAACTCTTTTGAACTTTAGTTTTTATAATATCTAAGTTGCGAGTTTAAGAAAGAAAAACTTTTCGAAACATACCAAAAGTATCTTTAGAATGTGTGACTTCAAAACATAACATTGTTACTCTGTCTCAATTGAAGGGTTTGCTTCTATATTTAGCAAGATTAAAGACTTAGGGCTCGTTTGGTGTGAGGGATTAGAAATAATAGTGATGGGATAAGGAAATAGTGATGGGATAAAAAAAAAATTATGTTGTTTGGTTGGCAAGTCCGGGATAACTTATCCCGGGATTAATAATTAGTACCGGGATAAGTTATCCCTCCCCATGGGTGGTATAGTAATCCCGGGATAACTTATCCCGAGATAGAATAGGTAAATGACAAATATGTCCCTTTAAATCCTTTTTATATATCATTTTTTACATTTATGTATATTTACATTTTTTTTAATACCATGTATAATAATATTTACTACTCCTTATTTTTATGATAATTATACATATTTTTCTATTAAAAAATTATACTATATAAATATAATTTTTATTTATGAATTTATTTGACTAATTCTTATGTTTATTTTATTTTGATTTCTCATAAATTTTCTTCTCTTTAATAAACTTAAGAGGAAAGTTCTATTTTTAAGCTAAATAAGAAAAAAGTTATATTTTTAAATACACATGGTACTTATCATGGGAATACATAAACAAAAATATTTAAGTTAAAAAAAATAAAAGTTTTATTTTAAAAAATGAATAACTAAAGCTCACAAAGAAAAATTTAAAAAGTTTAAATAAAGTGAAGGGTAATTTTGTAAACAAACAACTTGTTCTTAAAATTTATCAATATATATTATTTTGAATATAACAAACCAAACACTCAATAAGAAATAATCCCAGGACAACTTATCTCATCATAACTAATCCCAACATAACTTATCCCAACATAACTTATCCCAACATAACTTATCCCATCATAACTCATATTCAAACCAAACGACCCCTTAAAGTACTATACATTTTTTTTATTTATGAGCACAAAATTCAAAAATCTTTCTTTATTTTTAAAACTCTATATCCAGTCAAACTCAATCACCTAACTTGGGACTAAAGGATTGTATGATATTCTGTGACTAATGATATAAAATGAGCTTAATGAAGAAATAAAAATTCATGTAGCCGACTCTAATTTGTTTGATACTGTTGTGTGTGTGACATTTTGTATGACTATACAAAATGATTGATACTCTTTTCAAAAAAAATATTTAATGCTAATCCATGAAAATATGGCAGATACATCCCGGGGTGTCAAAACAAGAGAGAAAAAATCTATGTAGATTGATCGACAGCAGAAAACTGTCGCCAGAGGCATCTCTGCACGCAGCGCAAAACGAACGTTTACCAGTGCGAGCAGTAATTCAAGTATTGTTATCCGAACAAACAAAGGTTAACAAGCATCAAATTGATTGGAGTGGTTCTTTTATAAGCGGAACGCGAAGCCCCAATCAACTAGGACTAATTGAGCCTCCAGCTCGGTGTATGTCAAAGCGCGAAATGAACGTTCAACAAATGGAGATAAAGAGGCTAAAAGAAGATGTGTTGAGGCTACAGAGTCAGTGTATGACAATGCAATCGCAAATTGAGAAGTTATTAGAGAAGAAACGAGGAAGTGGTTTGTTTGGTTGGAAGAAGATAATTGTGCCTTCTTTAATGAATAAGATTGATAAAATTGGTGGAGAGATTGATAGAGAAACTGATGTGGGATATGTTGCAAGACAAACTCCAGGGGATATGAAAACTAGGCTTGTTAGAGGCAGAACACCTAACAAGTGGAGGAAATCTTTGTCCTGATAAGAAAAAAATTGGTGTTGAATTTGGAATAGGTGCATGTTATCAGTCAATGCAAAAGTACTAGAACTATTAATTAAGCTTAGTTATTTTAATATCTTTCTATGTCGTAGTACGTGACTCATGAAAACGGAACAAAAAAAGAGACTTTGTATCTTATATTTAATTTATTGAAGATATGTTTATCTAAATTTGTTCTTTTGTCAAAAGGAAAAAATATCTCCACTCTTTGAGAGGGCTATTATCTAAGTGTATCAGACATTCTTTCTCCATTAGACTTATCAATATCATTTATCCTTTTTTTCCTTCTCTCGGAGAGAGATTGAGAAGAAAATAACAAATAAAATGATCCGAAAATCGTTATAAAAGGTGAAGGTAGTCAATTAATTAGATAAATCTCTCTTTGTGTTCTTCCTCTACTTTATTTGATAGGGGGACAAGAAATATCATTCTATTGAAAACAAGAAAAAACTAGCAATTCAATTTCAAATAGCTTGAGCTTAAAAGCTACCTGTTAATAACTATAGATTGTTTTGCTGAGTCCGGAGCCAAAAGGGCAAAAAAAATTACCAAAAATTCCAAAAGGGCACATCATATTTTTAAAAAAACCAAACGGCAAAATCGCTCCTGCCGGAGCGATTTTCCTCTGACACATATTAACATCGTGTACTCCGTTAAAATAAAATCGCTGGCACAACAACGATTTTTTAACTCTAATATTTTTCCTCCACCTAATACCGCTGCTATGGCAGCGTTTTCATAGAAAAAAAATTTGGCAGCTTTTTTGTAAAAACTTCTTTTTGGAAAATCGCTGCCCCGACAGCATTTTCCTTAATTATTTTTTTTCGAAAATCTTTTCTTAATTTTTTTTTAAAAGTTTTATGAAAGAACAATATATTTAAAAAAAATTTGCTGACAGGAGCCTGATTCCATCCAAAAATTTGGATTCGACGTATAAATCATCAAAATGAGGCACGAACTTTAATTGGTGTCGAAATAGGCTGCATTTTCAGCGATTTTTGTTAAAAAAATTATTTTTTAATAAAAAGACTGCCTTGTTTTCAAAACGAAAAACAATTTAAAAATAAAAATAAAAATTGAAAAGAAACGAATTTTAAAAAAAAGAAAAAAATTTAACTAAAAATCTGTCAAGGCAGCAATTTTCAGTCATTTGAAAGTTTTTTACAAAAATATATATATATATATATATATATATATCTTGAAATCGCAGCCTTGGCAGCGATTTTGGTGGAACTAGTTTTTTTAAAAAAGAAATTGCTGCCTTGGCAACGATTTTTGTAGAAATATTCTTTTATTTTATTTTATTTTTTGAAATTTCTGTCAACTAGTCAACATCTGATGGTAAATTTCTTTTCTTTTTTTTAAAATCGCTGCCCGTGCAGCGTTTTTGCGATTTTGTTTTTAAAAAATAAAAATCACTGCCCTTGCAGCATTTTTGCGATTTTCTTTAAAAAAAATGACAATTGCTGCTATGGCAGCGTTTTTATAAAAATAAACTTATTTTATTTTTTTGGAAATCGCTGCCTCGTTAATGTTTTTTTTTTTTAAACGTTATTATAAATTTTGTGGAAATTTTATCTTTTTCTAGAAATCGCTGCTTTGGCAGCGATTTTGGTGGCATTTTTTTTATAAATATCGCTGCCAATTATATTTTTTTAAAATCGTATTAAATTTATTTTTTGTCACTAAATAACAGCGAAATTTCCTTCCAAATTTCTTGTTTTTTAATTGTTCAAACATTCACATGTCATATTTTTAAAAAAAAATCAAACTCAGATGCATGCTTAAAAAATAGAAAAAGTTCACGTGTTTCATTTAAAATTTTCTTATAAATTGGTTGAAGTCTGCTTTCAAACTTCAAGTATAATTTTTCAACTCTCCTTTCAAACTTTTTCAAAAGTCTTCCTTTATAAGGTAAGTTTGGACTTATTTTATTTTTAATTAATTAATTTTTAACTTTTATATGGTATTGTGAATATATTCATCTTTAAATAATTATATTAACACTAACACTTATTTTTATATTTTGTATATAGATATGCATCTATCAAATATGTATGTACATCCTGGTCCAATAGAGTATGATGTATTAAAAATTCAAGTTCATTATCGTTCCGAAGGAATTTGGAATGATAGCTTAAGAGAAGAGAATTTTTGCTTATATACGCGTCGTGGTAATGTTGAATTTTGGCAACATATAAAATATCATCCTTTACATCCTCGCATTCATCGGTATTTTAAAAATTGTAGATTTAAATGAATTCTTGATGTAGGATGTGTGCCGTATGACAACAGATTAATTTCTGCTTTAATTGAAAGGTGGCGTCCAGAAACACATACCTTTCACATGCGAACTGGTGAGGCTACCATAACTTTACAAGATGTAGAAATTTTGTTCAGAATGGTAATAGATGGTAGTCCTATAATTTTAAATGGAGCTGATACTTTAGGAGTTTTTGGTAGACAAGAAATGATGTTTGAATTAACGGGATAGTCACCCGATAATGATTGTTTTTCTGGTGTTAGTAGATTGTCAACATATAAATTAATTGAGCATATTGAAGGTTTAGATGATATTACTGATTATTCAACTGAGCGTGAGGTGCAACAAATGTTTAGATTATATATTTTTTTTAAATCACAAAAACGTTGCACGGGCAGCGATTTAAAAAAAAAAAAAATTTTAGATGTTGACAGAAATTTCAAAAAATAAAATAAAATAAAAGAATATTTCTACAAAAATCGCTGCCAAGGCAGCGATTTTTTTTTTTTAAAAAAACTAGTTCCACCAAAATCGCTGCCAAGGTAGCGATTTCACGATATATATAGATTTTTTATAAAAAGCTGCCAAATGGCTGAAAATTGCTACCTTGGCAGCTTTTTAGTTTATTTTTTTTCTTTTTTTAAAATTCATTTCTCTTCAATTTTTATTTTTTTTAAAAATCGTTTTTCTTAAATTTTTTTTTGTTTTGAAAACAAGGCAACGTTTTTATTAAAAAATAAATTTTTTAACAAAAATCGCTGAAAAGGCAGCTTAATTTGACACTGATTAAAGTTCGTGCCTCATTTTGATAATTTCTACGTCGAGTCCAAATTTTTGGGTGGAATCAGGCTCCCTATCAGCAATTTTTTTAAAAAATAATTGTCCTTTCATAAAACTTTAAAAAAAAAATTAAGAAAAGATTTTCAAAAATAAAATAAAATTTAAGCAAAACTCTGCCAGGGCAGCGATTTTCCAAAAAAAAGTTTTTACAAAAATGCTGCCAATTTTTTTTTCTATGAAAACGCTGCCATAGCAGCGATATTAGTTGGAGGAAAAATAATTAGAGTGAAAAAATCGCTGCTGTACCAGTGATTTTAGTGAAAAAAAAAAAGAAAAAAAATTGGACGAAAATTGCTGCCCTGGCAGCGATTTTATTTTAACGGAGTACACGGTGTTAATATGTGTCAGAGGAAAATCGCTCCTAATTTTGCCTTTTTGGTTTTAAAAAAATATGATATGCCCTTTTGGAATTTTTGACAATTTTTTTCCCCCTTTTGGCTCCAGACTCTTGTTTTGCTTATATATTCTATTATGACAAGCGTGAAAATGTTATAGAAAGACTATCATATCTGAACCCTAACAATTTGTTGTTAGGGTTTGCTTAGCCTAACAACAAATTGTTTGAGAGGAAATTTCCTATAAAATCTGTAATAAATATGCTTGTTAAATTGAAATGAAACGGCCAATTAAATTTAAAGAAGAAGAAATGATAGAACTATAATAACAATTTCTTAACGACGTCGTATGGGGATATTCAAAGTATCTCTTATCGGCTAAACCCCTGGTGTTTGATAGCCGTTTAAACATTCTCCTAAAACCCCGCCGGAAAAAATAAAATCCGACATGCTCCTTCTCTACTACACCTCCCAATATGGCGGCGGTCTCTGCTAAAACCCCAACAATATCTCTCCCTTTAGACCCCCAAAACCCTCAATTCTCTAAACTCCATTCATCAAAATCTCTAAATTTCTCTCATATCTTCCAAAAATCCCACCTTTTTTCCCTTAAAAAACCCCACCAAAATTCTATCCTCAGTTCCTCCTCCACCTCTACTCCCACCACTGACCCAAATTCCCATCTTATCCAATTATGCTTCCACAGCCAGCTGGAACAAGCAATTGTGTTCTTGAAGTCAATAAAGGACCTTCATGGCACCATAGAAGAAGACACTTTTGTTTCTTTAGCTAGGCTGTGCGAATTCAAGAGAGCATCGAATGAGGCGTGTGAAGTATTTTCTTGCATACTCAACTGTATGACCCAGTTGAGCTTGAGGCTTGGAAATGCCTTGCTGAGTATGTTTGTCAGGTTGGGGAATTTGGGTGATGCTTGGTACGTTTTTGGGAAAATGGAGGAGAGGGATGTTTTTTCTTGGAATGTTTTGATTGGTGGGTATGCGAAAAATGGGTATTTTGATGAGGCTTTAGATTTGTATCAACGGATGTTGTGGGTTGGAATTAGGCCTGATGTCTATACTTTTCCCTGTGTCTTGAGGACTTGCGGGGGTTTGCCTGATTGGAGAATGGGTAGGGAGATACATGCTCATGTAATACGTTTTAGCTATGATTCGGAAATCGATGTCGTTAATGCATTGATTACAATGTATGTTAAGTGTGGTGATGTTTACAGTGCAAGAGTGCTGTTTGATGGAATGTCTAAGAGAGATAGAATTTCCTGGAATGCTATGATTTCGGGTTACTTTGAGAACGGTGAGTTTTTGGAGGGGTTAGTGTTGTTCTCCTCAATGCGGGAATTTGGTTTTTTTCCGGATTTGATGACCATGACAAGTGTGATTTCAGCTTGTGAGGCTCTTGGGGATGAGAGGTTAGGGAGAGCACTTCACGGGTATGTGTCAAGAATGGAATTTTATAGTGATGTTTCGGCGCACAACTCTCTCATTCAACTTTATTCAGCCATTGGGAGCTGGGAGGAAGCAGAAAAGATCTTTGATAGGATACAAAGTAAAGATGTAGTTTCATGGACTGCAATGATCTCGGGTTATGAGAGTAATGGGTTTCCTGAGAAGGCCGTTATGACGTACAAAATGATGGAGCTAGAAGGTGTCATGCCGGATGAAATTACTATAGCTTCTGTTCTATCTGCCTGTACTTCATTAGGCCTTCTAGAAATGGGTGTTAAGCTTCAACATCTAGCCGAAAGGAGAGGACTTATAGCTTACGTGATTGTCTCAAACACTCTGATCGACTTGTATTCAAAGTGCAACTGTATTGACAAGGCATTGGAAATTTTTCACAGGATACCGGATAAAAACGTCATATCTTGGACTTCTATCATTCTTGGTCTACGGATAAATAATCGCAGTTTGGAAGCTTTAATTTTTTTTAGAGAAATGAAACGTCATCAGGATCCTAATTCTGTTACCTTAATGTCTGTCCTCTCTGCATGTTCTAGAATCGGTGCACTGATGTGTGGTAAAGAAATACATGCATATGTATTGAGAAATGGAATGGAGTTTCATGGTTTTTTACCCAATGCACTCCTTGACTTCTACGTGAGGTGTGGAAGGATGGCCCCAGCACTGAATCTGTTTAATACGCAGAAAGAGGATGTTACTGCTTGGAATATCTTGCTGACTGGCTATGCTCAGCGAGGGCAAGGTGCACTTGCAATCGAGCTTTTTGATGGAATGATAAGTTCAAGAGTAAAGCCAGACGAAATTACTTTCATTTCTCTGTTACGTGCTTGTAGTAGATCTGGGTTGGTGACTGAAGGCCTTGATTATTTGAATAGCATGGAGAGTAAATACTGTATTGTTCCGAATCTGAAGCATTATGCTTGTGTGGTTGATCTGCTAGGCCGTGCAGGTCTAGTGGAAGATGCTTATGATTTTATTCTATCATTGCCTGTGAAACCCGATTCCGCTATCTGGGGGGCTTTATTAAATTCGTGTAGGATCCACAGGCAGGTTGAACTCGGAGAACTAGCAGCTAGACACATTCTTGAAACAGATGAGAGAGGTGTGGGATATTATGTTCTCCTCTGCAACTTCTATTCTGACAATGGTAGATGGGATGAAGTTGTAAGATTGAGGAAGATTATGATAGAAAAAGGACTGACTATTGATCCTGGTTGCAGCTGGATAGAAGTAAAGGGAAATGTACATGCATTTCTTAGTGGTGATAACTTACACCCCCAAAGCAAGGAAATTAATGCAGTTCTAGAAGGATTTTATGAAAAAATGAAGGCAGCACATCCTAGTAAATCAGAAAGATATACAGTAAATGAAGTTAATGATTCAAAAGCCGAGATCTTTTGTGGACACAGTGAGAGACTAGCTATTGCATTTGGTCTTATAAATATGGCTCCAGGGACACCTATTTGGGTCACAAAGAATCTTTATATGTGCAAGAGCTGTCACGACACAATCAAGTTTATCTCTGAGGTTGTTCGGAGGGAGATTGCAGTTAGAGATACTGAGCAATTTCACCATTTTAAGGATGGAAGATGCACATGTGGGGATGAAAACTATTTGGGAGAAACTTGAAATTCATAAGCAGAAAGAATTGATTCACAAGTGGCAAAATAGAATCTGTTTGTGGTGACGGGCAGAGCTAGGTGTTTTTGCTCCTGGATAGAGTACTCAACACACCCCAAGGTTGCTATCCCAGATAAAATCTCATCCACAGCCCGGCACTGCACGTCTGTTGCTTCTGCAGATAACATCAACTGCCCTTCTGCAGGAATGTTTGTTTCCCCTATGGTAATGCTCTCGAAAGCTAGAATATTGTGAAATGTTTACAATGTCAAAGACAATTTTGTAATACTCATCGTAGAGATGCCTTATTTACTGTATATAGCACATACCTTTCTCCCATACTTGAAGATAGGGGCTAGTTCTTGGTTACTTTAGCGAAGTTGTTTTAGAAACATGTATATCTTGGTGGTGGTATGATTGTGGTGCTCATACAGCGAGGAGGCTTGGCTAGATTATAGTATAGGTTCTTGCTTGTGAAACTGCATGAACCTGAAGGGTCATGAAAACAAACATTGGTTTCTCATAAACCTTTCCTTCAAATATAATGTCCGAAGGAGAAGGATGTTTTGTATTGTCTGCTGAAAAAAAGTTAATAAAGTTAAGAAAAGGTAAGTTTACACTACATAATGGATGTGCATAAAGACATGATTTCACTATTGGTTAGCTCTGTGGTATCTGATCTCAATGGATCAACAATAAAGCATTGAGGTCATGTATTTTTTGTTGTCAATGTTTTCACTGACCAGCAAACCGCTATTCTTTTTTAAATTGTCGACAGAAAGAGTTGTGCGAGAAATCTTTCCTCTTATTTTTCTGCACAATCTGATTTTGCCTTGGTTTTTAGCATAACCGGACATGTCATCTTCCATACTCCCAAGGGAATTCAATATTAGTCACTTTATTAGAAATCTTTACACCAAACAACAAGCTGTTATTACAAATCCTTCAAAAGAATAATAGATTGTACACTATCGCGTACAAAGAAATCAAGCACAAAGCACCATTCACACACTCGTTTGGTGGTAACACGAAAATTTAATTCTATATGCAAACTACATCTTCACTGCTCTCTTGATTGTTTTGATGGATGATTTTATGAAGCCAATATTACCTCCGACCAGACTTTCATCACTATCATCACCAATGACTGATGGCTTCTTCCTCATGCAATCCACTCTCTTTTTCATGCCACTCAAAAGGAGAGATGGCGAGGATGGGATACGCCTAAACAACCTAACACTGTCAGACCTCGAGAGTTCCCTTTCCTTATCCTTTTCACTCTTCCTTGCAGTCCTTTCGCAGCTGCTAGATCTCCCTACTCCCTTAGAAGCAGAACCTACATCACTGTCCCTCCTTTCTGGAATTAAACTATAAGGAGGAGGATTCCTGCATAGTAAATTTTGACCTTTAAGTTCAGTTCTTTCTTCCCTTTTCCCATTTCCTCTGTTTGAGAATGATTTCCTGGCTGCCATTTGAACAACTTCCTCTCTTTTTGTTTCTTCTTCCTGTTGGACAGCTTCTTTTTGAATTTGCACCTTCTGCGGCTGTTTCACATCCTCAGCTATTTCTGCCTCCTCAGATTCAGATATCTTCATCTCCTTTTGTGGATACTTGATATTCAGTTTTGTTATCGTGCCATCAATCTCATTAGTTTCATCTTCTCCTACATTAAGGGATCTCTTACCACGATCATTCTCCTCAGCAGTCTGAATACCAAAGTCGGTAGGTTCTTCAGAGTTATCCAAAAGCAACTGAAGCCATTTTTCAACATTTCCTTTCCCACGCTGCTGTCTGCTCTCTTCGTCCTCCTCCTGTCTTTCAGTTTCATGAAAAGTGGGAAACCCACGGTTGCATGTTATCTCTTCTTCTTCTTCTTGTATCTCTATGTTTTGAACCTTCTGATCTGTTGGATCCTCATCCTTTGCCTGCAGATTAACGTTGTTACTGCGATCAGAGGGGATTCCCGTGCTGATTCTGTGATTAGTTTCTTTCTCTTGTCCTCCATTTAGAGATAGTCTAGCCTCGTATGCTTTCTGCTCTTCCTCCAAAAATACTCTTAACTCCTTATGCATAATGTCCTTGGGGTTCATCTCAGGCAAGCATAGAACTCTTATATCATCTTTCTCTGATTCTGCCCTTGAGCAGCTGCCAGGTAGAAGAAGAAGAGTCTTCTCATCTCCCTCTCCACCCAGAAATTCATCCATTCTTGATCTTTTTCTTGTTTGGTCCCACTCAGGTCTTATCTGTTGCTCGAGTTCATCTCTCTGTTTGAATCTCCTGTGTAGGTCTCTCTCTGCAGAATCACAAATTGCTCTTTGAGCTTCGAGTCTTGCCATAAGGGCATTAGCTGCTGCCTGATTCAACCTCACTTGTTCTTTATACACAATACTCCTGCACATCACATAAACCAGTAGAGTAAGAGACTAAGAGCATATAATCACACACACTAAATGGATTTCTATTTTTCTAGTTGACATGTCATTCCAGAGATCTTACTGGTGCATGGCATCTCGAATCATCTTCTCAAGCATAGATTTATAAGAAGATTGTGCCTCAGCTAGTCGTCGACACTTCTCAGCTCTCCTTCTTTTCTTTGTTAGGATTAGCTCCAAATCTTGTACAGCTGCTTTCTCCTCCTCAGTCTTCTGCTTCAATTCACCTACTTCATCATCTAATTTTTGTATTTCTGCCTGCATCTTTGCTGTCTCTTCTCTGTGTCTCAAAGAATCTCTAGCTATCACAATAGCCTGGTATGGATTGGTTACCATGCCTGGATCTTCATTTTCTTTCAGATCAGTTTTTGATCTCTTACAAGCTGTCACAACAGAGAAACCAAAAAAACAAAGCTCATTAAAAGGAAAAACCAAAGAAACAATGACTTGTTTCACACGACATTGAAACCAAGAAAACAGGTTATGGTCTTTGATTTTTTAGAAACTAACCAACAATAGGAGTGTTTGATCTTGGTCTCCTATTTATATCCAATGATTTCAGAGCTGAGGAAGAATCAAAAGACTCCCTTCGAGATAAAACAACAGCTGCTGGAGCAAGGCCAATCTTTTCTTTCGACTCAACAAAATGTTGAGGAAAAACATGTGAATCAACAGTTTGTGAGGCATTCAATTCTTCACTTTCACCTTCAGAAAACAACCAGGAAAATGCTCTACGCCTGAAAATAATGACACAATGAGAATCTAGCAGTTGCAAAAATTCACTTTGAAACTGGAAATGCACTCAACAAACATACACAGCAACAGACCTGAAATCTGAATTTGATATAGCAAAGATGGACAAGAACTGGTTTATCGATATACCAACTTGCAGATCCCACCAGGGTATAAGGAATTCCAGCTTGTTATTCTTTTTCTTACAGGCTTGCCACTGCATTATCCGTAGATTGCTTGGAACAGTTAGTCCTCCTCCTGCAATTTCACCGAAAGACACAAATTCAGTACTCACACAACGATCATCTGTGCCTCAGAGTTTAACTTATATACAGGGAACGATAGTGTAAAAATGTAGATAAGTTAAAGATGAAGGATGATGAGTAATTACTGGAGCAAGGAAACCAGTGATCAATTTCCCATGCCAAAGGCGAAGCTGAATCAGCATGATAATACAGAACATTGCCATACGAGTCTACTCGAAATACTTCAGGATCAAATCCCGCATTCCTGGAGTTCAAATCATAATCAAGAATGAGAAAGACTTTTCAAGCTTTTCCTAGTTATTCAGTATGGATAAACAGAATAGCATCACAATGGATTCTTACCCGAGGTGGCTGAGTTGCTTCCACAACAGAGACATAAAAATCTTGGTCTTTGTGTTTGGTTGTGCATTCGGATCAATGATAGGGAACATGTCATCCAATTCCTTGGCTCTCAAAACCTATACCAATCAAAATTCTGCTAAAGTTCATTTGTTCTAAATGAAACATTATTGTTTTCCAAGATCAGTTAAGTGATTTGAAACTTGGCTGCTTCTACTTGAAAATCAAGGATTCAAATTCACAAGGTTTAATTCAACTATGATATCCACTCTGGAAAAAAAAGAGAGGAAAAAACCAGTATTTCCCTCACTGAAATATAACTCAAATTAAATTCTGAATCCATAATTTCAAAAATTCAACGAGTTCAGTGCTAAGATCCTTAAAATTTGAACCCATCGAAATTAAATCTTACATTCGCCACTTCTGCTAGTGGCAACTAAATTCACAATTAGAAGCAAGAAAAGCATGTCTACCATAAATTCAACACAAATTTGGGGAAGGGGGTGCTAGGTGGTGTTAAAAATCCAGGAAAACAGATTAATCCATTCTTTATGGTGAACCAGAGCAAGCAAGATAAAGCAAATCCATACATAGATTTAATCAAATTCCGCATCGAATACTATTAAATCTTGGGAAATTTTTTTTGAGTCTTTATGTTACCTCATGTTGTGGCAGAGCATATGGAGTGAAAGTGAAAGGAGGGCCGCGGCTGAAGGGGCCAAAACTTCGATCTTTACAGATCTTGGCATAGGCCTTTGGGTATCCAAGACCTTGATCAATCACCATTTCTTCAGGGGTAAAAACAAGATCGCCAGCCATTAGAGGGGAGCCTCTGTTTCTTGCAGAAAAAATGAAGAATGAAAAAAATCAGAACTGAACAGAAAAACAGAGCAGAGAGGATTAGGTGATTTTTATGAAACAAAAGGAGAGACCAACGGTCATGTCATTTTTAAAAAGGTGGAGAGTTGTAACGGCTAGATATGTTGGCCTACATTAACAGCTCTACCATATAAGTTCAGATGTTTGTCATTTAAAAGTCTTGACTATATTTAAAAAGACAATATTACCCTTATGAAGTACAGATATGAGCTGAGCTGGATAGATGTTTGTAATCTACAGAAGGGTAATTTGGTCAATGAAAGGGAGCGTTGCAGAACAGGTCATCATTTAAGTTTGAACAAGTTTAAAAACGAACTAACAAGTGAAACAAATGTATTACTCCTTCTAAAAAGTCAAAGTGAAAAGTTCCTTTTTAGTACGACAAATCAAGTACATGCCAACAAACATCTGAGGCTCTTGCTAAATTCGATGTCGTACCCACATTGTAGGAGGGGGATTCCTCTTATTTTCTTTTTCTGCTTTAAAAAAAAACTTATCTCTTAGTTTTGATTATTTAGTCTTATGATTTTCTTTTTGCTACTCTCTTACTTTCATGCCTCTTATTTTTAACTATTAATCCATGTTTACTATTTGATACCATCAAAGTATATATACACATATTCTGATGGTATCAGAGAGGAAGAAGCGGTGCTTCAGTGAAAATACTATTCAGTTACTCCGTAATACCATTAGAGTTGGTATTTCAATGAAAAAACTATTCAATTACTATACTCTAATAGTATCAAGGATAATGAAGTAGTGATTCAGTGAATAGAACCAGGAAGCAGACAAGTAAATAGTTTAGGACATGGATCCAATCAGACTAAATATATTGGATTGGATCTAATTTAGATAAAGGAAAAACTACATAATTAGACATACTTAAATACCATATATTTTATCTATAGTTTAAAAATATTACTCATAATACCACTTTTTAATAATTATACCATATATTTTAAAAAGTTAAATCAGATACACAAATGTCACGCCCCAAACTCGAGGAGCGCAACTGGCTCCTAATGCCAAAACTCAGGCCCGAGCCGACCCTGCTGAACCATTTGCTACTAGCGCATGACAGCTACACGCAATCAAGAAATCAAACAAGTATATCTCGGCTTAAAACTAAGTCATCGGCCGGCAAGGCCCCTGTCAACTGATCTATAAAAGAAACAGCTACTCCCAGGAGATCATATAAATAAATAGTCAACTAGCACAGAAGTCCTAATTGGGCCGTCGAGGCCACCATGATATCTATACCAAAACTAAAAGCAGGTATATATCAATACAATACATCAAACAGCTCACAAGCTTCCACAAACCAACAACATAGGCCAGCATGGCCATACGTAGCTATAAACCCCACACACTAGTCTGCAAGCCTCTAAGAGTAGTAAAGATTGGTGGGACATGGCCCCAGCCTACCCATAAAGATATATACAACAAAAAGTAACAAACCTCCCAACTCTGGCAGCTCCGGAGGAAAGGGGCTAGCCAACCAGATAAAAGTCAATCCTGTTACTGAGAAGGTCTACTCAGTCGTCTGTCAGGACCTGCATGCATGAATGCAGCGCCCCCAAGGCCATGGGGAGTCAGTACAAAATAATGTACAGAGTATGAAAGACAATATACTATGATGAGGTATCCTGATATACTAGAATAATCCAATAAATAAATCAAGGCTAAGATAAGTGTACTGATCTACTCCTAAATCTAAACTTATCAAAAATAATAAAACAACAACCTAACCAAGCCCCCATAAGATCGGCAGGTAAAAAAAGCACACAAGACCACCTACTCAGGCCCCCATAAGCCCGGAAGGTGCCAATCAGCCTATATACCCCTATCAGTAGTCCCCTAGCCCCGTAGGCAGTCACATAGCCCTCTAAGGCATTAATATAGCCCCTTAGGTAGCACATAGCTCCCTTAGGCATCAACGTAGCTTATAGACAACTCATAGCCCTCTTAGGCAACAATATGGCCCTGTAGGAAGCACATAGCCTTCTTAGGCGTCAATATAGTCTTGTTAGACATCCATATATCCCTGTAGGCAGAACATAGCCCTTCTAGGCATATATCATATTCCTGCAGCTAACCACAATAGTCCCAACGGCAATAATAACAATCCAACCGCTAAAGGCGAGCAATTTAGTTATAAGTAACTTATACAAATAGCCTCTAAGTCATGTCCAACAAAGGGACACTGCTAACTGAATAAGAATCCTGACAAGGGAGGATTATATCAACTCGAGCAGCCAACAATCAACAATCACGGCTACAAGTATATCAAGGATAACAACCCAAATACATTGCTTCTAAACTTTAAGGAAACATGTCGTAAGTAGGGAATAGCCTTAACATACCTTTTTCGCTAAATTCACGTGGCCTAATGACTTTTACTCAACACTCTCTCGATACTACAACAAGGTAGGACCATAATCAACACACAAAAATAAAAGATACCATGACAATACGATAAAATATATGTATTTCCGTCGCAAATTGCTATTTGCTGCTTATAAAAGCTAGAGTCGATGAAAAAAGGGTCTTACCTTGATCTTAAGGTCGTAATATGCTTTAAAACCTTCAAATATATCCAAACCATTGCTGTCCCAACACTAAAATGTGATATGCTACGCAATCGATAAAACAAATTATACCACGATGATGAGCCCAACGCGTAGAACAACTTTCATCAAGGACTTAAGTTGAGAAAATCTATATTTCACTTTATCCTAGAAATGGGTTTCTCTAATTTCTCTGATTTTCAGCTTAAAAATTGTGAAAAAAGTCGAAGGAGAAGATATATGTATCATTCCACCGACTTAGGGCCCCACCTCACGTGCCAGCTTGCGCAGTCCTATGAAAATACGAATATCTCTCTATTCTGAAGTCGTATGAACAAACGGTTTGATGCGTTGGAAACTAGACTCGTAGACCTTCGATTTCATAGTTTGCGGGGACCATAACTCTTAGTAGATTGGGAGAAAACGTTCGAGACATTTGACTCAAATTTCAGACAAATTCTTAAAAAGAAATTTACGGTAACTTTCGCCAACTTTTATTTATCACTTACCTAACTTCAAAACTTGAGATACCACACTTGAACACTTAAAATATCACATAACACATCATTTTTAATTTATTACTTCACCCTCCTAGTCTTTCCACAAAGATACGAGTTAATTTAGATGTTTTTAAAAGTCGCGGTGTTACAACAAATCCCTTAAATATGATATTGAATAATTATCTTAAAATTATGACTCCTTAATTAAAGGTAGATTAACAATTGTCCCTCAAATTCCTATGCCAACAGTATATCTCCCCCCCACCCGTCACGTTTTCCATCACATCTGCATACTCTGTCTTCCGTCATCATCAATCTATTATTCCAAGTTCATCTCCCCATTCTCTTTATTTCTTCCTTCTTCATCATAAATCTTCTTCACTAAATCATCCATGTTGTCCGAACAACCGATACAAACAAGCACATAAGAGAGGAGAAGTCAAGATACTCATAAGCTAAAGTTTGATATGTTGTTCGATTTGTATTATAAAAAATGGACTTCATGATAATGCACACAACTTAATTTGTATCGTTGCATTCAACAAGCACAGAAACGTTGATTGTATGGCACAAAGGAACTATAAATCTAGATTCTACAGGTAGAGTCATCTTATATTCTGGCTCTTCCAAGTGGAACCTAACCACATCACAGGTTCCGAAAGGTGGGATCCAGATTCCGTTCTGAAGAACAGGCCTAGGATCACATCTGAAAACTCAGATATACAAGTCGAGCAAGATGGTGTTTCAAATATTTATGTAAAAAAAAAATGCAAGATCTATTCATAATTCACATTGTACTTTATGTATTTATCTTACAATCTCGATTTTGTGTTATATCAAATACAATTGCATATATCTAATATAGTTATTTTTCAATTTTTGTATCTAATATATAGCAATGTTATTTATCAGATACATATATATCTAAGAAGTATCGGTATTAATTAAGATTCTATGGCTTTTGAATCTTGTGTTATATCAGATACAAGGGGATGTATCCAACAATTAATTAATTCATATATTACACATGTTTTATAATGTATCAGAATTACTTACATATATAACATGTATATGTGTCATACTTATTAGTTTAATGTATTTGAATTATCTCATATACAGTTTAAATGAAATATGTTAAATAGTGTATCTGACACAGATACACCAAACTATATGTGATACAATAGAAAAAAAAACTTTTGTATCTGAACTGCCTTATATCATAATGTATCTTAAACAAGTTAGAAAATGTATCTGAATTATTTAGGCAGTGTATTTATAATAGTTTCACACTATGTATCTGAACTACTGAATTTATAAAATATGAAATTATTCAAGAAGACGAAGTGTAAAGTTTGTTGAATCTCCAAAAAAATAATAACAGAATTTTAATAATTTTTTGAAGTTGTGATACGTCAAAATATTTCATACTCCCTTAGTCCCATTTTATATGAGGTAGTTTGACTCGGCACGGAGTTTAAGAAAGAAATGAAGACTTTTAAAACTTGTGGTCCAAAACAAATGATAGAAATTTGTGTGACTGTAAATCATTTCATTAAGGGTAAAATAAATATTTTATATTGAAATTGTTACTTAATATAGAAATGTGTCATTCTTTTTGGGACTGACTAAAAAGGAAAGTAAGTCACATAAATTGAGACAAAGGGAGTAATTTTTACAAGCGTGAATTCCTCCTTAATTTATGGTTGTCAGTTACAATCTTTAGTTATATAAGCTTAACGTTATGTATCTGACTAACATGGATCTCAGATGCATGTATCTAGACGCGATAGATACATGTATCCGAGGTGAAAAATATAGTAGAACTTGTAATTATGCAAACTGAAGGGAAGAGACGTAAGTAGGCACTAAACTAGTGGAATTTGTGTTGTTTATCCGTAGATAAATACATTGCTT